AGCCATATTTTTACCAAGGAGAGTTGACGCCTTTGATCTATTCACTAGATTGAATAGGGGTATTGTTATCCGAACAATAGGTATATGAATATAGATAAATAGGTATTGTTATAATGAACTCTTGTTTATCCTTTGACCTCATTTGACTTCTGTTACGAGGTTAGCTGGAGGTCACGCATTGATTATTGGGGTTGTCTTTATAGGGGTTCGTGCTGAGGTCAGGTCGTGCGTGGTCTAGCGTTAAGGGTTAACGTTAAGATTGACCATTGATTGGGTTGCGATTGTTTATCCGGGGTTGGTCCCCCCCCCCTTCCACTCAGTTACCCCCCTTCTCCCACATACCCCTTCACCCCAGAGCCCCCCCCTCCCCCCCCACCATTTCATTCCTCTATATTCTTCAATTAGTTACACCCCCCTCCCCCTTCACCCCAACGTGCCCCTCCCCCCCCCCCCCATTTCATTCCTCTATATTTTTCAATTAGTGACAAGGAAGAAGCTAACAATGTTGGGTTGTTTTTTTTTCAATATTTTTTTTTTATTTTTAATTTACATTTTAAAGCGCCGGTGAGTTCCAATCGGCCAATTCCCTGTAAGTTTCTAAAATATCCATTGGCTTCTTGAACCCCGGATTTGTGTCGGCCACCAACCTCAAACGTGCCAATATGTAGTCAGTGTATGCTAACAATCTGCAGAAAAGAACAAAACAAATAGGTATCAGGTAAATAAAGCAATATTATTAATATTATAAGAATAGCATTGATTACAGTCTTGGGTTCGCTAGCCTAGAGGTCGGGTGTTCGATCCCTTGCATTGGCTGAGAAAGGTCACCCCGATTTCTGGAGGGGTTTCCCCATTGGCTGTGATTCAGGTCGGTGGTCCAGCCAAGGACGGCCGTCTAGTCGTCCGGATGGGACGAAAAACTGAGGTGACGTGTGTACCCATTGTCGTGCATGTAAAAGATCCCTTGACCGTCGGAAAAGGATATAGGAGTAGGTCGTAGTCGGGGTACCCGGACAAAATTTCACTCATAGCACACGGTCTGTCTTATGCTCGGTCCTTCCTAAGCACACGTTAGGAGTAGAACAGTAGGATTTTACCCCCCCACCCCACCCCATATTACATTTCATTTAGGTATTGACGCCGAGGTGTGTGGGTGTGGGGTCGGAGGGTATACACGCAAGCATCTTCAAATGGCGGGAGGTGAAATGGAGTGAGACGTTTAACTGCCTCACTGTTTGTTTCCTATACCTAAATTAATGCCATAGGCTATATTGGTGTCGTTCAAAACAAAACGACGTTCAAGAATCGATACTTAGAAACCACAAACAAACAAACACGCGTGACCTGTAAAGTACAGTCTGCTTGACTGAACATCCTTGAATGGGCAACCCGATACAGACAAGACTCTCATTGCAAAGGTGGCGGCGACCCCCCCCCCCTCCCCACCCTCCTTTCTACCGAAACACCATACAAGTAGTTAAAAAACTTACGTTTCTTTTTCCTGGCTAGGCGTGGCTGGTCTAGTTGGGATGAACGGGTTGTGGGTCGACAACAAAGCGTCTGCGTCTGCCAAAATACCCCGTAATTGTATAACAACATCAGGCGTGCCTTAGGAAGGCGCATAGGGTGCCAATGTCGCCGTAATCAGGCTAATGGTTGATAATATAAAATTTCGAACATCAGCAATTGCATACCTTAAAAAAAAGACCAAAAAAAATATAATATTAAAGATATTTTCACCGTAAAATATTTAGGTCGCAGGGTGTGGTGTGAAGGGTTAACGCTTATATCGATCTTTTACGCGTACATGACTATGTACCCGTGGAGTTCTGCATTGTTTTCGGCCTATCCGGACGACTAAGCACCTGTCTTGCCAAGGGTTCGGCCCACATCACGGTCAAAAATCGTGTTTATGCAACGAATTCAACAACGGTATCCAACGACAGTTGCACGTATCGTTGTTAATCCATACAAGATGCATTATAGCCAAATTATGATAAATTAAATAGTTTGAAAATGTTTTTTAGACCGAATATATCGTCAAATCATACCGTACTCATACAATGTTATGCCTCTTTAAAAGCTTCAAATTATGTAGGGTCTAAGGCCCCCCCCCCCCTCATCTCCCCCCCCTCACCCCCCCCCCCCCCCCATGCTTTCAGTCTAACGATTACAGATTTTTTTTTTTTTTTGTAAAGTAGGTTTTGAATCATAATTTTGAAAGAAAAAGAAAAAAAAAGTAACTTACATTTTAAATTATTTGTCTTTTCTTGTATAGTTTTTTTTCGTCAAGTCTTTCTGTTTTGCTGTTGTATTCTTTTCAGCCACAAGTCGAAGTGACAATTTTCATAAGTACGGCTGTTTTTAAAGGGTATAGCATAATTTTATGACCAACTGCAAATTGAGGGTTCGAGAACTGTTTTTAAAATTTTCTTTTTAAAAATGAAATACATTAAAACTGAACAAACGCTGTAAAGTGAGTTTTAAAAAAAAAATTGTTGGTGGGTCTCCGCTATTTTAAAAAGGTTTATAAAAACGATTGCTCGGACTGTCGCGGCATTTCTAAAGAGTACTATGTTAAATCAGTCAACCAGCACTATTTGAGGTGATTACCTTAAGGACAGCGTGACACCACTACGCGTCCCCATAATTATAACACCTTTCAGTCGTGGGGTTTACCGTCAGACATTGTAGTTACTCTGTCGACTGGAACTAAAGGATTAACCACCCTTTACGAGACAAAGACACTGGTCAGAAGTTGGCGCTAAACAACCACGTGACCCATACTAACCAATCATGGAAGGCTCTCATGGTTTGTTGACCAAAAATGCGACAGTCGTTTTAACGTCATTGAGCTCCGTGGTCTTTGAAGTAGCAACAACACCCAACTCGTGAGACGTTGTCTTTGAGTATACACGTCGTCATTATAGGACACATTCGGAAAAAATTATGGTAAGCCTATTCTTTAAAGATACATTATGTAAGATTTTTTTTTTTGTTTTCGATATCATGCCAAAAAATATTCCAAAAATATTAGTCTAGATGCTATGAAAACATTTGGGGACTAATAATCAGGTCATTGGATATATTATTCGTGCTCTTAACCGTATCGTAAACAAAACCAAGATGCTAGGGTGGGAAAATTATTATAAATTTTATTAATCTCTTTTTGAGGTAATAGTATTTTTTCTGAAATATATTAATTTTTTTTGTTAACCGAGTTGTCTCCATTAGATTATAATTTATTTCAAAATAGGTATGTGTTATAAATATGGGGCATGGCTATACCGTAATACATATATCTGTCCATTTAGAATTATTCCGGTCATAATAATTAAACGACTCTGTTACATATGGTTAGGCCCTGAAACTATATATTTTTTTTTTTTTTAATTATTTATCCCCGGAAATAGACTCACGCTTGAAATCTTTGAAAAAAGCGAGTTACCCCCCTTTTATACGTTTTCAATCTGGGGGCGGTAGCTAACTTTATTTCCCCCGGAAATAGAAAAAAAGAGAGTTATCCCCCTTTTATACGTTTTCGATCCGAGACGTTTGCTAACTTTATTTACCCCGGAAATAGAAAAAAAAAAGAGAGTTATCCCCCTTTTTATACGTTTTCAATCGGGGCTTTTGCTAACATTATCTCTCCTTTAATACATAAGCTCCATTTTTTTTTTTTTTTTGTTTGTGTTTTTTTTTTAAAATTATTATGTTATTATTATTATTATTTTTTTTTTAATCTTTTTTTTTTTATTAATTTTTTTTTTTTAATTATTTATCCCCGGAAATAGACTCGCGCTTGAAATCTTTGAAAAAAGCGAGTTATCCCCCCTTTTATACGTTTTCAATCTGGGGGCGGTAGCTAACTTTATTTACCCCGGAAATAGAAAAAAAGAGAGTTATCCCCCTTTTATACGTTTTCGATCCGAGACGTTTGCTAACTTTATTTACCCCGGAAATAGAAAAAAAAAAGAGAGTTATCCCCCTTTTTATACGTTTTCAATCCGGGGCTTTTGCTAACATTATCTCTCCTTTAATACATAAGCTCCATTTTTTTTTTTTTTTTGTTTGTGTTTTTTTTTTTTTAAATTATTATGTTATTATTATTATTATTATTCTTTTTTAATCTTTTTTTTTATTAATTTTTTTTTTTTAATTATTTATCCCCGGAAATAGACTCGCGCTTGAAATCTTTGAAAAAAGCGAGTTACCCCCCCCCCCCCTTTTATTCTTTTTTAATCTTTTTTTTATTAATGTTTTTTTTTTTTTTTTTAATTATTTATCCCCGGAAATAGACTCGCGCTTGAAATCTTTGAAAAAAGCGAGTTATCCCCCCCCCCCTTTTTATACGTTTTCAATCCGGGGCTTTTGCTAACATTATCTCCCCTTTAATACATAAGTTCCATTTTTTTTTTTTTTTTTTTTTTTTAAATTATTATGTTATTATTATTATTATTATTCTTTTTTAATCTTTTTTTATTAATTTTTTTTTTTTAATTATTTATCCCCGGAAATAGACTCGCGCTTGAAATCTTTGAAAAAAAAAAAAGCGAGTTATCCTCCCCCTTTTATACGTTTTCAATCCGGGGGGGCGTTAGCTAACTTTATTTCCCCCGGAAATAGAAAAAAAGAGAGTTATCCCCCTTTTATACGTTTTCGATCCGAGACGTTTGCTAACTTTATTTACCCCGGAAATAGAAAAAAAAAGAGAGTTATCCCCCTTTTTATACGTTTTCAATCCGGGGCTTTTGCTAACATTATCTCTCCTTTAATACATAAGCTCCATTTTTTTTTTTTTTTTTTTGTGGTTTTTTTTTTAAATTATTACGTTATTATTATTATTGTTAATTTTAAATTGTTTTTAACATTAATATATACACTTCGGGACCATTTTAACATAATGTTCTTGCATAATGTATGTTTAATAATAATACTTACCGGCTCCGACACGATTAGTAATTAAAAAACAAAATTATCTATTTTCTTTTAAGATGGACCCGTTTGAAAACTACACAGACGCTGAATGGCATGAAATAATAGGGCTTACAGATGAATTTGAATTTTGGACACCGAGTCAAGTCCTGGCAATTAGCGAAACTTTAGACAGGGCCGAGATTGAAAATCAAACAAGTAATCATAATGAAAGAGCGGGGACTAAACACCAGCGGTCTGACGCCGACACAGATGACGACACGGAGGACGAAAGGTGCGAAAGGGGTCATCGCCAACTGGATAGTCCTGTATTATTTTCGGATGACGATAGTGACATTGACATGGCACAGGTGAGCAAAAAAACTTTACACGATACTCAAAATAATGGGGAACCTAATTCGTCTACAGAAAGCGAACATCACGATCCCTTAATTGCTCTATTAACGAGTGACATAGCAACCCCTTCTAAGTTCAAATCTTTAGTTGCTAAGGCGTGTGAAGAAAAAGATGGGGAGGTAGTCGATATTCTCGATTTGTTAACCCCACCGGTTTTTTTTTTTTAAAATAACCAACTCCCGTTTTTTGGTTTTTTTTTAAAGATTTGTCAAGAGGGCCGTGGCGGCGAAGATTTAGTAAGGCTGATTTCGGTGGAACAACGGTTTTCAAGGAAATTTAACATACATTCCGAATTGCTACGTCTGGAAATTATAAACACGGATGACCCTACTACTCCCGATTGGCTAGAGAGACTATTCACTCAGATATTAGCGACCGTTAGAGAAAATTTCAATGTACAACCAAACGAGAGGGTAAGAATACAATTAAATCACCCTGATTTGGACAATCCAATATATATTGCGTTTAGGCCTTACAGTGAACTAACTTTGGAATTAATTTTGGATGAAATTGCGAAAGTTATGCAGTCAAAAAAAACCCTCGTTATAGACGATCAAACCTCTATAACCGTTACCTACGTTGCATCTAAAGAAGGGGGTTTTTCAGCAAATAAGGCGATTTTGAACGAGGCCTTTATGAGTGGAAAAAAACGGACATTTATATCCCCCGTAGCCAACGCTGGTTATCAAACTTGTTTTGGGCAATCTATAGTCCTGGGTATGAACGAAATTTCTTATCATAAGAAAATTTCCCCAACAGCCGAAGAAACTAAACATTACAAACGTGTAGCTGCCACCTATGCGAAAAGGCCACTGCAGATTGCCATGGCTATGGAAATGTATCAAGAATTCAATGTTAACCCGCTAGTAGCCGCAGGTCGACCTGAATGGTGTATATTTCAAGAACACTTAAAAGCTGAATATCAAATTCTCATCTATGATGGACAGGCGGCCAACTGTATCATATTCAGGGGTGACGCGGACCCCAATGTCCCCGTTTTAAGGCTGTATTTAATGGAAAAACATTTCTACTATATAAAGAAAATCAACAGCTTATTTAATCGTTCATACTATTGTTCAGGGTGTGAAAAACCATATTCTAATAAGAATAACCATGTGTGTAAAGCGCTATGTCGAAGCTGCAGGCAATTAGTGGCCTGCCCTCTGGATAGGCCGCGAATACAGTGTGAACTTTGTCACCGTTATTTTAGAGGCAAAAAGTGTTTGGAGAGACATAACCAAAATGTTCCGTTATACACAGTGTCGACGTGTATGAAATATAGGGCGTGCTTAAAGTGTTATACAACAATAGACACCCACGAAGAGGATGCGATTAATAAGCACACCTGTGACGTGCACAAATGTCGTAATTGTATGCAACTGTGCAAGCCTAATCATAGATGCTATATGAAACGGTTATCAGAGGAGGTTGAAGGTGAGACTATCAAATATTTTGTTTTTTATGACTTTGAGACTATTTTGGATGAAGATAATATACACGTTCCTATATTATGCATTGCTCATCGCGTGTGTCCTTTATGTTTGGAGATAGATATTAACGCGCCGTGTGTCGGCTGTAACTTAAAAAACTCCCAGAGAGAGTGGATTTTTTATGGTAAATATTGCGTTGCAGAGTTTTGCCGTTGGATAATTCAGACCGAAATAAATGTCGACCTCGAAGGTAAAAAAACGACCGTTCTAACCCACAGGCATTCCAGATTCATAGCCCATAACAGTCAAGCTTTCGATGCCCTATTTGTATTGAGATATTTCGTCACACATACTAGAATTCTACCGGAAATCATTGCAAACGGGTCTAAAATCATTTGTATGACTATACCCGGTAATATACGTTTTTTAGATAGCCTAGCGTTTATGCATATGAAACTTGCAGATTTTAGCAAAACATTTGATTTACCTGTTGCGAAGGGTATATTTCCGTATGCATTCCTTAAACCCGAAAATCTGGAATATAAAGGCGTAATGCCCTCGATAAGTTTTTACGAAACGTCATCTATGTCCCCTAGTGATCGCGATAAGGTCATGAAATGGTATAATGAGCGGGTGCTTCTAAACAATCATTTTGACGCTAAGTTTGAATTGGTGCGATACTGTAAAGCGGATGTTGATCTTCTACGGTTAGGCGCGGCTAGCTATAGAAAGCTTTTCATGGAATTAACCAAAATATCGCCATTTCAAAAGGCTATTACGATTGCATCCTTGTGTAACCTCGTCTATCGGCGAAAATTCTTACCCCCCTTCACGATAGCTATAGAGCCCCAGGGTCAGTATGTATCCGCACGCAAATATTCAAATTCATGTATACGGTACATGCAATATCTTGAATATGTTGAAAATCGTCATATACAACACGCCCGTAACGGTGGTGAAAAGGTCATTTTCAATATGTCTGTAGATGGTTGGTATATGGAAAATAACATCGAGGTGTGTATCGAATATTTAGGCTGCGTTTTCCACGGGTGTCTCTGTATCAAAAACAGAGATCAACCCTCCCCATACAATAACAAAACCATGGCCGCATTGTACGAGGAGCACCTGGCCCGTTTGGAGAGGTTGAAGACTCCGACCAGACGTATTCGATGTATATGGGAATGCGAATACAAGCGTCTCACAAATACCCCTATGTTTTTAGCCTTTGAAGCGTGCACCCCCACCTTGACAGAACCCTTGCAAGTACGTGACGCCTTCTATGGAGGGAGGACGAACTTATTGAAATTTTATCACAAGGCCCGTGAAAACGAAAGAATTCGTTACCTGGATTTCACGTCGCTTTACCCTTTTGTGAATAAGAGAATGCTATACCCGGTCGGACATCCAATGCTTATTCTGCGTGACTTCGATATTTTGGAGAATTATGTAGGTTTCGTTAAATGTCAAATTCTACCACCCCGCTCCTTATATATTCCAGTCCTACCGTTTAGGGCTAATGGTAAGCTACTGTTTCCACTGTGTTCTAAATGCGCTTTGAACCGAAACAAAGAGCCGTGTACTCACAATGACGACGATAGGGCGCTGACGGGGACTTGGGTTATATTTGAAGTTATCGCCGCAATTAAAAAAGGTTACAGCCTGGTTAAAATTTTCGAGGTGTGGAATTTCCCACACACGCGCCGATATTGCAGCAACGATGCTCAGCTTGATCAGAAAGACTACGATATCCATATCCCCACAATTAAAGACAATTACGAGGATATACCTGAAAAGGATATATTTGACCAACTACCCGAAAAAGACCTGTTCAGCGAATATATCAATATGTTTCTCAAAATTAAACAAGAGAGTTCAGGGTATCCAAACGCGCTTAATCCTTCGTGTACCTCGTGTGATAATCTAGATACGTGTTGTCATATCGATTGGGGGGATCTCGAACGCAAACGGGCGGCGTATATTAAAGCTTACGAACAACACGAAAACATTACTCTCGAAGCAAATAAAATATCTAAAAACCCCGGGCTACGATATGTATCAAAGATCTGCTTAAATAGTTTATGGGGAAAATTCGCTGAACGAACAGATACAAGGGTACACGCTGCCCTCGTGCACGACCCAACCGTCTTCTATGATTATCTTTATGACGGCACAAAGATTGTCAAAAATATCGAAATTCTCAATGAAGAAATGGTCTTGGTCCAATATACAGACCGCCAAGATCTTGTCCCTGTCGCCCCTCACGTAAATGTACCTATAGGGGCTTTCACCGCCGCTTACGGACGTATGAAACTGTACGAATATTTAGATAAATTGAACCATCGGGTTCTGTATTTTGATACCGATTCCATCATTTTCACAGAGACCGCCAATGATACCCCTGTAAAAACCGGGGTTTATTTAGGTGAACTTACGGACGAAATAGACCCTGACTGCCATATACTTGAATACGTCGCTACCGCCCCCAAATCCTACGCTTTGAAAATAGAAAATAAAAAAACACGTGAAATCTCTTACACCATAAAATCTAAAGGTATTACGTTTAACCATGATGTCAGTCAACGTATCGAGTTTCGAACGTTTGTTGAATTAGTACATGATCACTGCCGTAAGGTCAAAGTCACATACCCGAAAGCTTTCCACCGCAGTAAAGTGTTTGTGGTTTCTATGAAAGAGAAGTCAAAAACCTTATCATTCAATTACGATAAACGCGTAGAAATTAAGGATTCTTACGATACAATGCCTTATGGATTTCGTCAAACAAAATGAATAATGTTTTTTTTTTTTGTAACTGTAATCTCGTATATTGTAACACCATTTGTTGATAACCCTGTGTATATACGATATATAAAAGATATAAAAAAAGAAAAACCATTTGTTTTGTTTTTTCTAAAAAAATCATTTTATTCATCTATTCAGCATCTAGAGTTACATTTTAGCTTGAAGGGGTGGTTATATAGGTATGGACATTTACATTTTAAATCTAAGAGCAACAAAACGATGGACATATCTGTCATTCTCACGGTGGTTTCGAGAAAATGTATTTACAATTCTTTTCATACTCTTACCCCTGCAGCGGTGAAAGGCGTAAAAGACACAATATTGCCCACAAACATCACTGAACAATCCTTGCAGGCGACGTTTGTTATATAACAGAGGCAACCCCGTTTTTTTAACCCTGTGCATGACATTGCCGTGATAAGGCTTGAACCCGAAAGAGTCGAAATATTCCACCCCTTGACTGCCCACATAAAGAAGTAACCAATGTTCCCCTATTTTGTTGGCGGTATGAGAATTGTAAATGTACACGCCTGGTTGTAGGGTCCTGGGTAGCTTATCCCGAGCAAATACCCCTCGAAAATAAGCGGCTGTATGGGGGTCACTTTTCAAAATAGTCGTCAGCTGGTCTGTATTCATCTCAAAAGTCTGTTATAACATTTCGAGCACTGTCTATCTCGATCTTATTTTCAAACTCGCTGTATAGAATTACGTTCACAGTGGACGGCAAGGGGGTCCCGAATCGAACTTCGAGTTTAGCATTACCCGTTTTGGTTAGATGTACTGTGTTGTCGTCAGAGAGTTCTGGGGTATAATCGAAACAGAATATGCAGAAACCTTTTCGGTAAGCATTCAGGGTAATTACAGGACCCTTGTCTTGAAAAAGGCTAGACGTCCCCGAAAATAATGTATTGAATGATCTTGTATATCCAAACCCCAAAGCTTCGCTGAAATTGGGGGTCAAAGGCTTAGCGAAAACATCTTCACCGTTAACCTGGAGTGATATATGGTTAATGTCAAAATTTTGCAACCTGAAGGGATTATGTTCCACACTACCTGAAAATGCCTGGTTACTCACAAATGCCACAAGAACTCGACGAGGCGTTTGCCCCAAGAACAGATTGTCTTTATCCAAACTACGATTCCCTGCAGGTATGGTAAAACTTTTTACATCTACACGTCGAATAGGGTAAACGGCATTTCGTTTCATCAGAGCTGCGCCATGTGCCACGATAACCGAGGGGTTCAGTTTTAATCTCCGGATAAAAAGTGACGCCTTTTCTATGACTACTTTGAAGGCATCGGCGTCTGCCATGAGACAAAAAGCATCTTTAGACCTCACCATTCTAACTCTAAGATCAATGCCATTAAGTAAGTATTTATTCTGACTGAACAAGTCCAAGTGTAACTTTCCAACCATGTCCACCGTCTTGCTCGATGAAAAATATCTGGATCTACCCTTAAACCCGGTATTACCCCCCGCGTCTGATACATCATGACTGTCGAATTGTCCAGGGGTGTCTAAACGCCACATGCACGATAATAGGTGAGATTTTTGGGCGTCACTGCCGTAACTGAGGAGGTTCTCCAGATAACAACGGTAGGGATTGACGGAGGCAGGCTGAGAGATTCTCTTTCCATTTAGGGTTACGTCGACTTGACTAAACAGACTGTGTAAGAAATTATTCACAGGACCTACATTAGCGTCGTCTGCTATATTTGTACCGTTGGCATTGGTTATTTTGGCCCGGACGGTAAAAAAACTTTGTGCCAAATCAAGATATTCATCCCCGGACCCCGACATGTAAAATTCAAGAGGGGCTCCACTGTCTAGATTAGATATAGGGTGATATTCGTGCCATTTTCCACTTTCGATATCTATTTTGGTATTTGGGTGTGAAAATAATTCTAACCCTGTGGATACACATTCACATGATCTAGGATCGATCATTTTTTGAACGCCTAAAGGGATCTGGATATCAGCTAAATATGTCTAGGGCTGCTTTTTTTCGTCTCTTCTTGTTCTTTCCTCTGTTATTTTTTACACGTTTGACCGAACCACGCGGTGTAGAGTGTCTTATAGAACTAAGTGCCCTTGTGCCTAGATCCCGACCCGCCTGCAGCAAGTGGTGTTTAGCGGAGGTCCTTAAATTTTTACCCTGAAGAACATCGCCAATAATATTCGACCCCGTAGTTAACGCTTTTTTTCCAACAGTTCGGGCGGCAGACTTTAAGAGAGGGGTTGCAGCTCTAAATAAGCTTGATAGAACTGA